ATGAAAGTCATAGCCAACCACGATACACCATTTAATATTATTAAGGAAGTTAAATTACTTCAAAAAATTAATTTTATTAACATTTACTCTTGAGTCTTACAAATAAATTCTCGCCGACCAAGTCTGCGCACACATTTATTACTTTATAAAAATGGTTTCAATGCGTATCTACGGGTATACCAGAATCTCTATTCTCCCTGTTTTTGGTGTATTACTCGTTTTATAATTTGAACAGTTGTTTATAAGATGTATTGCTTCTAAATATTGATTAAGATTCCAATTAAAATGTCAAAGATTGGAGGAGAATTGGATGTTCAAATTGGCCTCCTCAGGAAGGTGATTTATCGAGAAAACAATCAGTAAACATGAGATTCTTGCAAAAGGGATCAAAGTGGCGAAGAATCCGATCTTGTAGACTTGACATTTTTCGTACTCAGTAAACCCTAAGCACTTTCCGATATCATTCATAAAATCGATATTTAATTAATATTCGCTATATTAGATGCTATGTCCATTAAAGTACCATTCTCATACAATTTCATTTTTACGATATGCCAAATACGAAGTCATCAAATCATGTTACCACTTAATTTTCATTCATCCACCGAATATTTATTTTAGATTAAGAAGAATAGCAGACTTATCAATCGATATAGGTAATCGAAAAGACTTGTCTAATCCCATTTTCAAGATTCGATTAACATTTATTTCCGCTATCAAATTAAAGAGCATATCATGCTTAACTCCAAAATGATAAATCTCATTATCTGAATCGTAACTCAAACTTCACAACTAGTAGCACTAATCATAAATGCATGTGCACTTAAAAACGCATTAATGATCATAGAACAAAGTCATATAATGTTTCTCTCTATAACTGGCATTAATTGCATTGAATCGAATTCTTAAAGTTGACAAATGCAAGTTGAAATATCGTTACATTTTTTTATGACATACAGGGCAGCATTTTAACTAATTACTAATAAAATTCCCTAGTGTTTATGGACAAATTTATAGAAATCACTAATAGGAAGAATTCTTAAATAAGAATACTCGATTAAGTGGAATTACCCCCACTTATTGGAAATTTGTTGATCTGTTAGGTCATTCGATTGATTAACAGCATTAGTCACTGAGGTATCCACACCTTCAAGATATTTAGAGAAATGTTTGAGGATCAGGTGTGGGCTTCATGAAGTTGTTCTAGCAAGGAACTCCTATTCTCCCAACTCTCTTGTTGGGCATAAGTAAACAGGGCTACTGGTTGTATGCATCACTGGGTGTGTACCATTGGGAAATGCCCTTGTGTACTCTAACTTGTCCGACATGAATCTGACGACTGGATCAGAATAATTTTGTAATTTAATGCATATAGGATTTATAAAATAATTCGTGCTATAAAAACATTCCCCTCATACTATCTATTTAAATTATGTTTACAGAGTTCAAGATGTAGAAAGTAACATATTTTCAGGAAAATGTGTACATGACAAAATATGAAAGAAAACATTGTGGTACGTGAGCTCAATCATATGGGAAAGCTCTAACGATTTAGCTTTATTATTTTATAAAAACATTAATAGTATCAATCATCAAGCAAGGTTGATCAATTTTAATGTTACTTTAAATTAGAAGTGTGTACTAATTTGTGACCAACTTCCTAATGGATTTCACAACTACTGGACTGTTGGTCAAATATAAAAATAGGAATGATGCCATCTGTAATTAACTAAAATTATGAGATAAAAATAATAAAAATCAGTTTATATCGTAGAATGTGCATGAAAATTTAAAATTTCCTACGGGTTTTTAGAATTTTTGCGTGGAGCAAAATGTCTGTGGAAAGTCAAGCGTTATTGCTTAATTTTTACTTCATCCAGTGATAATTAAAAATAAGAAGCGTTATAGAACAATGTACTCATTCTAAAATATTTTTTTCTAAAATGAAGCTAAATATTTCGACTGAACTTGACAACTATTTTTGACTTTTATTCACATGCTATGTTGAATAATTTAGTCACTGAGAAATAAATAAATGAATTACTAGTGGTTGGAATATGGTTTCTAAATAATTTCCTTCTGATCGATTCAAACAAACTTATTTCAATAACGCTTGAATATTTTTTTGATCTTTAGCGAATTATAAATAAATAGAAGATATCTGGTAATTTTAAAGTTTTTATGTCCATATATTTTGGAACAAAAGAAAACAACTTCTAAGTGTAAGACATCATTTTTTATTAAAATTGGATATACGACTATTGAAATATTATCATTGCTATCAACAGTAATCTCAAAAAATCGAATTTTCATTAATTACGGGAATGATTTAAAATCAATTAATGGAGGGTTTATTGATGAATAATAGGTGGGGGTCGAAGAAACGAGCCCATATTTTTTTCGATTTGTGTAAATGTCACTTTTTCATTAGTGTTTGAATCAGATTGGCGGAAAAACAGACGATACTCTTTCTAGTGCGTGTCAACGAAAATTCATTTAGTCATTTCCAACTGAATAATACCAATAGAATTACCTACCTATGTTAAATCTCACCAAACAACTATTTTGATTTTATTTTACAATCTCAATATATTATAGAAACACCAGCTCTTTATGAGCGTGAGCTGGATTCACCAAATTTTGAAGATTGCAAGCAGACAAATATGGCCTTCAAACCAGAATTACGGAAATCGCGAATAAGCCAAATTACACCATACTTCATAATTTTAAATGGTCAATGAGTGAAAATTGAGACAACATGGAGAAGTAAGAAATATTCATCAAGTAAGGTATATTTTTTTTAGAAAATTAAAGTTTCTTGAAACACTTTGTAAGACGTATCGTTTCAGTGGATGAAAGCCCATTTAAAGGACAAGTACTAGTAAGCAGAGAACAGCGATATCGCCCAATTCATCTCCTCAAAAATGTGTGAATGCTTTTGGAAGAAAACCTTCTTTATCTTGATGAATTCATGAAAAAGTTAGTCAACTTGAAAATATGTATATTTACATATACCTTCATATTTGGATTTTTTCATAAGCCAATAGAATCAAAGGTACTAAGTATAGGAAACCAAGTAAGTATTTAGCTTAACAGATCTAACATGAATAATTTTTCAATCGGTGTTGAATCTCGTCCTTAAAAGCATGAATCCTTATCACTAGGGTGTGCTTGGGAAAGTAGTTAAGGGCAAAAGTTGACAGAAAATATGAAAATAAGTGCATGCTATCGATAGTATCACTGTTTTGTCTAAAATAAGGTGCGCATGAATTTCAGCTACCTGCAAGTTTATTACATATTCAAAATATGTATAGTGGAAGTTAAAATTTTTCCGAGCAGCAAATGTCGCTTTGATAGTCATTTTCATATTTGACTCTTCAGGGAATCATTAAGAAAAGCATCTTTTCAAGTGTCCTTCCGAATTGAGAGGATAATTATTAAATTAAAGGCATTCGTTAGAAAGATTTCCCTAATTAACTAGCAGTACGCGAAATCTTCATTAATTAATGACAATAATTGGAAAATTAAAGTTTTGATTAAATTTTGGTAAAATTTAATGCATTAGAAAACATTAGCAAATAGTACTTTAATTAAAATGTGTGTATTTGCAACACTGCAAACGATAATTTTTTGAATTTATTTTGTTTATATATATGTATCTTAATGATCTTAATCAGTTTGTTATTTTAAAATCAAATTTTGCAAATGAATGCGATGGATCTAACCGACATTCAATGAAATTTGGTCAATAAAAACGATTTTAGGTTGCATCGGTTATATTTTTAAATCCGGTCAAATTTTAAAATAAGATTTAAAGATTGACTCGTGTAAAATGATTACTTATTGTATACTCTATTATGTATCATTTGTTCTTTTTCTAGAAATTACTAGCTAAGAACTCGGTGTCAACAATGCTAGTTTTATGGCACTTCAACCGAACTCCTTTTTCAAAAATCTTTATTGAGATCAAAATTGATCATCTCAAGGTTTTGTTGACAATTTCTACTAATGGGGAAAAAAAATTTTGCCTCGAGATTCTTTTTCAGTTATTTTTTTGTTAATATGCTATGATAATTTTAGTAAGTAGTCTTATGGCAGATCATTTTAAACCGATTATTTTTCCAGTAAATAAATATTCTTTAAGGTAAATCATGAGCGCACACTCCTTGACGGCTATAAAATTATCATTGATAATGGCCTTTATATTAGCGTTATAATTTCAATACAAAAAAGGAAAACGTTTTGTGTTTAAACATGGAACCAATGCGAATATAACTTTAGAAATGGAATTACTGAGCACATAGAATTCTAGGTTCTACCCTCGACACTTGAATAACGTTTAAATTTTAAGTGCCACATTGTTTAGTGTGATTTCAATTTCAAAACTGTTGTCTAAATATTTTAACTTAGTTTATCAAGCTAAGATATTCATTAGAAAATATGAAAGTAAACGGTTGGCACCTTGGCTGAGTCCACAAATGTCAATTTGCATCAACCAGTTTCCACGTAGCTCGTCCATAGACAAGTGTACAGGTCATCAATTTAAATCAATAACAATTAAGCACGTATTTAGTTTTCGTCTGAAAAAAGTGCTTTTGTAAAACATTAGTCTTTTTGATATTATCTGATAAATACGCTACGCGATTCCTTATTATTCAATCAAACATTAATCATTCGTACCGTTTTTGATATCGTTTAGTTTTACCGCTCCTTCAAAGGTGGATTCCATTTGGTTCTGCATTTTTCCCATTCCCAAAAAAGGTCACATACCATTCTCTCTGTTCCAAAAATATCAGAAGACATCCATGCGGTGACATATGTGCTCTCCTCTTTTTCCCATAGACCCGAAAAGGTCACACAATTACAAATAGGCGCGTTTAGCCAATCACCAATTCTCTGCTCACTAATATGCACATCTAAGTTCATCTGATTGGTTAACGGAAGAATTATAAAAGGCGAAAACTATTTTTAAGTTGTTAATTTGTTCACTAATAAAAAGAATGCATCCACGGCTTCATCCAGCATATGTTGCGTGTTTAGTCTACTTTACTCTTATCGTTGAGGGAGCCCGAAGAGAAACCCTCGCTGTTGAAGGAGATGCTGATATTGAGGCCGATCCAATTTGTGGTCTTCATCCAGTTGATATCCTTACGTCAAGTATCATACAGAGCTCCATCACTAGCGATTCATCCGACATCTTTATTATTGGAAATGCATTGACGTCTCTCTACCGTACACAACCAGAATATTACACATTTCTGACGCGCTGTACTACCGCTTGGCACAGATGTCAGAAGGCAAAGCTATCAGGAAGGGAAGCATTGACGCTACTGGCTCAAAACCAGCCATGGAAGAAACTCTGCAAAGAAGGACTATCATTACCATCTTTTCAACAGATGGAGACTGCATAGATAGAAGAAGAGATTGGCACTTACATTCCTCTTCCCCTAACCCCCTTATATTGTCTGTATGTGATTTGTGTGGACCTATACAAACTACTTATAAATATGTCTATTTGTGAGTAATGTCATTTCAATCTCGTCAAGGTGGATGTGTAAGAAAAGTATAGGTATTAATTTAAATTAATGCATGCCCCTTTCACAATCCTTGAATAGTAAATGAGTTTAAAATTGAAGCAACCACTGCAAGCTTTTTTAATCAAGATGCCTTTTTTATCTTGTTATTCTTCTTCTTGAATGATATTTAAAATTAAAATGATTATGGATTTATTTTGAAAAAAACTAAGAACGCTTCATTTAATGAGGATATTCCTTTCAAATTGCATAATACCTAACGATCTTTGAACAAAAAATAATTTGTATTATGCTTATTTTTATTTTTTTTCTCGCATTTACTTTAGTTGACTAATGTCTTACAAATCTCGCTTAGCTAAGCGATTTACTACAAATGAACACATATGATTTTGTCTATTGATAAAATAATTCCACATGAAACAAAACAAAAGGTGAGTTAACTTGAAATAAAAACGGTCGATGTATTTTTTTTAATTATTATTATAGCTAATGAACTGCAATTTTCATGTCATTTTTTGCCCAATTTATTAATTAAAGAACTTTTTATGAATACGAAACCATCTAGATCTTATTTGCATGTTTTGCAATATGCTTCAAATTAAAACAGCTCATAACTTGAACCAAATTCACCATTTTGCTGGATTATGAAAAAAAGAATCATTACTCACAAAGTGAACCCGAATGAAATGTGAAATGAATTCTTGCAAGGAAAGGATATATTTGATATAGGAAAAAACAACTTAAGTAAACAAATGGGATATGTAAAAAATATGGCATTAAACCATCATTTAATTTGCAAGTGAATTTTTAAAATCTAAGTAAATCGTTCAGTAAAACCATAAGTCATTTGAGAATTTGTAAACCTCAATGCCGAGTTTCAAATAATCTCAGATGAACAAATTCAGATCTAAATCATTGAATTCAAAACAATGTCCTTAATGATTCTAAAACTGCAGGTATATGTTTAAATACGATAGAATTCGAAATGAAATTTCATACAATATGTGTCTTCTTCACATCGTAATATTGGGCACACACTTTCAATGTATTGGATATCGAGAAGTTTAACTATTTACTATTGTAATCTAACTTTATAGTTTTTTTTAACTTCAATTAGCTGGTTGAAATTCGAATGCTTATTTCATTTATTAATCTCGTTTTAAGAGAAATAAATTGAATCAATCATTGAGTATTGGACAATGCAGTAAACAAAGCTAATTTAGGTCTTAAATTCGAAATATGAGCTAAAAGTGTGGTGCACTTCCAACCGGCACACACTTCTTAACGTGATTTGTCAACCTCAGGATAATTAGGGTCGTCAAATTGGACTCCGCGGTAGGAGATTCTTAAGCGGTGAGAAGGTGGTTCAAAAATGACTTCAATCAAATTAAGTCAGGTGGAGTAAATACTTTCCCTTTAAGAGATTTTGAATTTAAAGTCAAATGGAAATCGTCTGGAGAGGAGCTGAGAAGTATCAAAAGTCCTACAAAGGCGGATGTAATTAAATTATTTACTACTTAAATTCAAAACAAACAAGAGAATTTTACGTACTTTTACATATGTTGTGAGAATATGGGCGGCGGTCGTACGTGTGGTGTTGAGGTAGGCATAAGTCTAGTAAACTTGATAGGCTTGCTTTGGTTGGTACAACAATATTCCATAAATCGACAATATTAACTTAATAAAAAAGAAAATTAATCAGGCATTTTAACAGAAAATAACGAAGCCGATGAAAATAGGGCAGATAGATTCACATTTCTTAGCTTCACATCTAACTTGTGGCTTACGAATAATATTACCTAAGACTATAACACAGTATGTGCATGTGATTGTTTAGAATTTTAGAGTTTTTTTTTAAGTTGTCAAGAGTTATTTGTGTGGAAAAGTATGAAACTGCATTTGAAATTAGACAGTCGTCATTCGGACCACACATTATATCCAATGACACGCAAATCGGCGTGGCGGAGGTTAAATTAGAGTCAAATTCGATATCAATATAATAAGATATTGGCTTCAAGGGAGTTAGTAGGGTTTGAAAAAAGTTTGCGTGTTTAACCCACTTGCTCATTCTTTTGTACTCGTTTCTACCAATAGCGGTGTGCAAAGGAAGGGAATTTAATTTGAAATTTTATGGTGATTTTAAATTTAATTATCTTAAGGTAACGAGAATGAGTAAAGCAAGATGAGGTTGATTATATTCGTAATTTTTTTAAATTTGTTCAATAATTAAGCACCATTTGAAATATTATAGGCAATAATTAAGAATAGTTAATAAATCAGTGTTCGGTTTAAATAGTCATTTAAATTTTCAATAAATCTTTAATGAGTATTGATTTACTTCACATTTTTTATAAAAAAATGTCATTATATTTTGGGCAAATGTTTCGTTGGCTTATATAAAAGAGCACCAATCCCATAAGCCATTAGTCCGTTCAAAATTGTCATTAATTACAAGCCACTAAAGCTACATCAAATCGAATTTTAAAATAAGCTTCGAATTTAACCGCCAGGAAGCATACATCAGAATACTGATTACAGCCGGAAAATAAAGAAATTTTAGGAGTGTGAAGAACTAATTGAAGTTTCCGGTACTTTTAAGTTGATCTAAAATTGTCCTTACAATGAAAAACATGATATTCAAAACAAACGACCTAAAAATGCATTATGGTGTTATTAAAACCGGGATAAAGAATTCATCATATTATTTCAACTAGGATTTATTCAAAATTGCAAATGGAACTTTTTTTAAATTAAGGAATTATGCCACTTGTGAGATTGAAAGCTTTGGCAAGATAATAAATGTAAATTGTCAGGAACTAGCAAACATATTCACTTAAAATTAATACTTGTAGTTAAAAAAAACAATAAATTGGCTTTTATTTTTCATATTAAACCATTGCCCCAATAAAGTGATATTTTAATCGAGTAACATTCAAAACATTTTGAATTATTGAAATGAGATTTAAAAGGTGATATTGAGAAAATTTTAATGAAACATTGAGTTCCTGAAGTTAAAATGCAAATACTTTATAATTTCTTATATATATATATTCCTCCATTGAGTTACCTTTTGTTATAACATTTATTCATATCAAAGGGCGGCGCTGTGGTAGTTAACATTAGCCCTTCAGGTGACAACGGACTTCAAAGAGGAGAGGACATTTAAAGTGATAAAAAGTCAAGACGGGGGGAGAGAACAAAAGAGTGATTCAAATTTTTCAAAGAGTCAATAGACACAAAGGTAGTGAGTAGGGTAAGGTGAGTACGGTGAGTGGTTTAATGCGGCATACAGTGGGGTTGTGGAGCTTGAAGTGAGAAGTCAGCTGCGGTGGGGGGGGGGGGGGTCATAGACATTTTTACTCAGAATGCTCAGAATAGAGGTAATTCTGCTGCTCAATCCGTTTGACATAGCATACATTTTAAAAGATTCGAAACTTAAAAGGCAATGGCTTTCACATTTTTGCCTTCCTTACAAGTTTTTTAAAGCATAAATAAAAATTGAACGCATTGAAATCTTTTCAACGTGAACAAGAAGAAATTTGAATGAAACGGTACTGTCTTTCATAGGCCTGCAGAGTGTATAGAAATGCTATGTAAAGTTTTTATTTACCATTCGAATTGAATTTCCGAAATGTCATCCAACATTGCGTGATTTTCATTTGGTAGCTCTAGTTTCATACAAAGATATATATATATATATTTGTTCACTGCAATTTTTTTAGTCTAAACTACATCTGGATAAGAGATCATTTTTCAGTGTTTTTATGTATGGCAAATAATCTTGATTAAAAAAAGTTAGAGATAAAATTCTTGACTCCGTGATTTCTTTGAATTCTGAAACTGTCCACTACTGTGTTGATATCGGGGTTTAATTGAAGGCCTCTTCCAGTCTGAAAGTCAAAAGACTTAGTCAAGGTAACAAAAAGAACGTTATGAGGTATTATTTCTTCTAAAATCATGGAAAAAATCAAGTATAATCTACAAAATGGAAGACAGAATACAAGGTAATACTAATTCCAAAGGATTTCACAAATATTTTAGTTATTACTTCATGGAACAAAGTAAATAATGAAGTCAATCCTAATTTTTGTATTTTTAATCAAAATAAGAAAACTCCATTTTTCGGTTCTTCGTCACCTATTTGGTTATTAGCTTCCAAACTTTTAAAGCATTTAAAATATTGTTGATTCATAGTTCAAAAAAATTAAAAATCATTGACTTAGAACATTTCTGTTAAAAAATTGAGTTAAAACTTCTAAGTATAGAGAACCTATATTTATTATCAAATTAACGTAATTTTATAGCTTCTAGTAATTAAAATTTTACATAAATTAAAAAGAGAGCAATCAAAAAAACCTAAATTTATATTGGCTCGATTTTTTTTATTTCCGTTGAGTATCATGTAGCTCTAGAATGCCTTATTTATCTTATTAAATTTAAATTTTGTTCGGAGAAATTAAAATACATTTTTCTTTCTAGTTAATGGGCAGATGAATAAGAGAGATTCGGATACGTCAGAAAAGAGAAATCTAAGCATCATTCAAAGGGATTTGGAAGTTACAAGGTCAGCACCACTTGTTTAATAAAATGGATGGCGATACCAAAGTCAGGTGATAAGATTTTTCCACCAAACACAGAAAAATTAGTCACAGAGTGCTCAGTTAGTGCGTATGCTACGATTAATTCGGAGAAGCAACACTTATTAACGCTCACTAATGAAGGGAAGGGACGCTGGAAGTTCCTAAAAAAGTCAATTCATAGGATTTTCAACGGGAATATTGAATGACCAATTGAATTACGCAGTAGTGAAGAAATGATAATTCAAGGCTGCAGAATGCAGAAGATTTTTCTATTTGCTGAAAAGCTAGTGAGATAAG